TGGGGCCCACAGCGGCCCCTCCGTGGACGTAGCTCGGACCCTGCCAGGCCTCCGCATACCGCCGACGGCATCCTTCCCCTCCTCAGGATCGCTCTCCGGCCCGTGGGCACGCTGGCCGTCCTGCCTAGAAGCCACAATGGCGCAGAGCATGACGGACCAGAGGGCCATGCGGGCCGGGCCGGGAGAAAACGGGCTCCAGAAACTGCAATTCCCAGCAGCGCCGGGCCTGGGGCGTGGCGAGCTAGGAGGGACCATAAAGATCATTCTAGTCCAACCCCGCGCTTTCCCCAGACGGAAGCCTGGGTTCCGAGGTGTCGGTGTCCCAGGGGCCTCAGGCGTCGACGAGTCGGGGAGTCCCAGGCGCGATTTCCTGAACGAGGGGTCGCCGGAAGTGCGAGATGCAAGTGGGGAAGGTCTGTGCCTCGCATCCGGGGAGAGGGGCGCTACTCCAACACTGAGAGCCTGGGGGCGGGGTCAAGGGGAGTCGGCCCCGCCCACAGGTCCAGCCACGACTCCCAGCTTGCAGTGCGCTGCGCTGGTCCCTCTTCGCGCCTGCGCGCTGCCTGATGGGGGCTGTGGTCCCGGGAGGATGGGGCCCGCGGCGGCGCACCCTCGTGAGGCCCTGCGGTGGGGTCGGGCAGCCTGTCCCACGCACTTCGCCTGATTCCCCACCCCTCTACCCGGGCTCCCAAACATCGTCCCTCGCCAGCCTGGTCGGCACAGCCCTGCGTGTCGGCCCGAGAGAACAGTTAACATATGGCTTCCAGGGTTGCCTGCATTTTGAGAGCACTTCAGGGCCGAGGGGAGACGGTGGCGCTTCCCAGTCCCCTGAGGAGCTTCCTGTGTCAATCTCTGGAGGAATGGGCCCGAGAATCTGCAGGTTTTAGTACGCGCCCCCGTAGAACTACTGTCGTAGCTCGAAGGAGGGTGGCAGGCACATCAGGTGGGATATAGCATCGCTTCCATACTGTAGAGCTCGCCCAGTCCCAAATGGGATTTTAGGGGTCTTTCTCTGAAGTCATGATGGTTTAAAAAATCGATGAAAACCATATCCTCGGGTGAGAATTTAAAAAATAAATAAAATCTGCTAGAGTGGTTAGAATCTATACTAAAATTAGAAACAGAATTCCTCTCAGAGTGGTGGTGGGATGGATACTTGGGCTTAAAATTCAGCTCTGCAAGTGTGAAAAGGAACACGGGATGGTTTGTGTAATTGTTGGTAAAAGAAAGAGTGGAAACTGCCCATCAGTATGTCAGCTGATGGCCCATAAGGAGAAAACCCGAGGGCAGAGGCGTTTACAGTGACTCTGGTCACCCTTAGTACAGGTCAAAGGTGTAGCATTTAGGAATCAGGAAAGGCATTGCTTAAAGGTTCTTGAGCTGATGCCTGCCACTCTCTACTGGTCCGTCCCTCGCCAGCAGTCCCTATCCTGGCCCCAGGGGCCTCTCTAGTCTGGCTCAGTAAGGAAAATGATGCACCTCCCAATATGGTACACCCAGCTGTAGCCACCCAACTCTTGCCCTTCTGAGGACACCCGCTGCCCATCACCTGCCCGCTGTGCCAAGACAAAAGGTGCCTTCTGTACAGGTTGGAACTTCCTGGCTCAGGAACCAACGTGGGCGGGTCTGGGTTATGACGGTGCCCTTGCCCACCTATAGGACAGAACTGGTAGTTCAGGGATGATGCGGGCCGGTTCAGATCGCAGCTTGGTGTGCTGGGGGACGCAAAAGGGAGAGGGAACTTGGGTGAAATGTCGGTAGTCAGAGGAATAGTAGAAAAATTGTATTTTCTCCCTCATTCATGTGGATACATGTGTCTGCCGGGACATTCGTGAGTGCTAATTACTGTCCTGGGTCCTGCTTTGAAATGCAGGTTACCCAAGAAGCACCAGAGGGATTATCTTTGAGTCTCTTAAACTTTAGAGGAGAGGTCACATACTCAGCTGCAGAGGCCTGAGGACAACAAGAAAGAAGTGGGCCAAGTGGGGGCCATAGTATCCCCTGACTTAAGGGGGCCATTAACTAGCTCCAATAAATTGCTGCTCAGGAAGCCAAGTCCACTGCTTCCAGATTTTATAACGAAAAGACAGACAACAGGATTTGTATATGAAACATCCTGATTTTTTAATGTTGGCAACTACAATCATCCCTCGATATCCACGGGACATTGGTTCCAGAAGTCCTGTCCCCCACAGATACCAAAATCTGAGGATGCCCAAGTCCCTTATATAAAATAGCATGGTATATTTTAAATCACTTCTAGATTATGTATAATCCCTAACATAGTGTAACTGCTATGTAAGTAATTGCCCTACTGTATTGTTTAGGAAATAATGACAAGAGAAAAGGTCTGTACATATTCAATACAGACTCAACCAAAGCAACCATCATAGGTTGATTACGTAGTACACGTCAATAACAATGTAATGTTTTCTTCTGAATATTTTCCAACTGTACTTGGTTGAATCCACACCTTCAGGTAAGGGGAGAGATAAGTGTAATGGAAACATTTTTAAAAACTGTGTAGACCAAACAGAACCTTGGGCTGCCAGTTTGCGACCTTAGCTTTGGAGTAAATGGGCATAGACCCCAGCTATGTTTATGAAACCGGCTGATAGCCTGGAGGACTGGTGGGTCGGGGGTTTGAAAGCAATAGACACAAAAGTATCAAGAATTAGAATTCCTAGGGAGCAAAATCCGGGGGAAATGGGAGACATCTGTAATACTGCCAGCAATAAAAGATAAAAAATAATTAGAATTCCTGGTCTTTCTGCTACTGCTGGAAGGAATCTAAGTCATCATTTTAGGGCAGCTCTTAATTTTACAGAATAGAGAAGGCAGGGGTTTACTATTTTTTGTCCAGGGTCATACAGAGCTGGTTCCTACATGGGGATCAGACCCCCATATGCCAGCTCCCAGCCTACTGCACCCCCTGAACTACTTACCTCAAAACCAGGCTACCCTGTCTGCCCAGGACACCAAGCCTAGCTCCACCAGGAGCGTAAGAAGCCTCCCAAAGTTTGGGAAAAGGTGCCCCTTCAGACCTGAGTCAAAGTCCCCCTGACGCCTGCCTAGCGCAGCTTCCCCATTGGCTCATGGGATCTGCCCCTTCCGGATCCTCCCCCTGCCCTGCTGCTCTGTGACAGGGGACATTCCTCAGGAGGCCAAGGGTCACCACAGCACCATGACTGAGTCTGGCAAGGTAAGGAGAGCCCTTGAAAGCTGGCTGTCCTTTTGGGGGTTCTTGTCAGACCTCAGGAATGCACGACAGCACAGTTTGGAGCTGAGAGACTACACAGGACTCCTGAGGCCTCTGACCCAGATGCTCTGCCTCTGGCCTGAGGAAGGAGGCCTGGCGGGATGGGGAAGCACAGTGCTGGCGTTGACCCCTGGCCGGGGCTGGGGCCTCCTCTCCAGTGGGCTCCTGGCTGGGACCCACCGCATGGCTTAATGTACCCCTTGTCCTCTCTTTCCTCAGCCCATCCTCTATTCCTATTTCCGAAGCTCGTGCTCCTGGAGAGTTCGAATCGGTAAGAGCTGCGCCTCCACCACAAGCCTCGCTGGGGTGGGATGGGGAGGAGGAAGCCCCAGGTGAAAATGATGACCTGGGCCCTCGCCGGTTTGGCTCAGTGGATACAGCATCGGCTCATGGACTGAAGGGTCCTGGGTTCGATTCCAGTCAAGGGCACGTTGGTTGCAGGTTCCCAGGCCCCGGTGGGGATGCATGCAAGAGGCAACCAATGGATGTGCCTCTCTCACATCTATTTCTCTGTCTCTCCCTCTCCCTTCCACTCTCTCTTAAAATCAATGGAAATAAATCCTTGGGTGAGGATTAACAAACAAACAAACAAAGATGGCCTGGGACAGAGGGGTGCTCTACCAGACAGGTCTTCTCCCCCCCAGCAACCAGCATCCCCTTCTCCTGGAGCCCTCAGCACTGAATGGCACCTCCACCTAGGAAGTCCAACCAGAGGAGGGGGGGCGGGGTACCAGGCCGGGAGGGTTGTTTTTTCTCTTGGGCCCATGCCCTTCCCACCCTGCCCTCCAAAGCTCCTTAGCAACCATGCTTAAAGCAGGCTCACACATCTAGAGGACCTTGGTAACTGGCAGGAAACAGCTGGCCTTCCTCAGATCTTATCTTATTTGATCTGGCCAATTAAACAGAACTGGCCATTGTCCACCCCAGCTGAATCCTTCCCTCCCTCAGTTTAACACAGCCCTTGGCAAAGGTCAGAGTCCTAGCAGCTCCTGCTGAGGGAGAATGTGCTGAGTGCTTTTGTGTGTATAATTCTATTTAAACCTGACAACCCTGGGAGGGAGGTACTATTATTGTCCCCATGGTACAGATGAGGAAACTGAGGCTCGGGAAGTTACTTGCCCAGAGCTTCACAAGCTAGCAAATGAATGTGATGAAATCTGAAGCTGGCTCTGACTGGGAAGCCACCCTCCATGACCCCGCCCCCATCCCCCAGGCATTTGGTATTTGCTGGAGTCAGTAGGCAAGGGCACTGGAGGGCCAGAGGGCACATTTCTCCCAGAAGATGCCTTCCCTGGGCCCAGAACTTCTGCCCTGGCTGAAGGGCCTGCAGACATGGTCTCTCCCATTCGGTCTCAACCACGTTCACTCTCCAGAATGGAGCTGACCAGTGCTGAGGAGGAGCCCCTTGTCTCCCAGGCTCCTCGCTCCTCTGCCCTTGCCTGAGACCGGCCATCACCATATTTAATGCACCAGTGTGCATGGACACACCTACACACTAGCACTGACAGGGTTTCTACCCTGGCCTCGCCAGGGGGAATCATCAGAGGGGATGGAGAGGAAGCCTGGTCACTGGGGGTCACAGCAGATGCTCTGCTTGCAATCCGCAGTAAACAGAGCAGAGAAAATGGATTGCAAAATGCTTCTTCTCTAAACAGTGTCCTCTGCCTGTGTGTGTGCTCTATGGTCACGTGAGCCCCTTCCCTTGGCCCTGAGAGGCCTTCATGAGGGAATAACTGTGTGTCTCCAACACAAAGCCCTACTCGCCGCTGTTAAAGGCCCTGGAGGGGGAAGAGGCGAGGAGGACACTTCCCTGCTGTCCTCCAGCGCCCACTGTGCCAGGGCAAGAGAGGCAGGGTTAGGGCAGTGGGTGGTGCCCAAGGAAGCCGGACTGCCTAGCAATATGGAGAAAGGAGCCTCCCCCTGCAGCTTCATGTTGCCCTGGGAGCCAGAGACTGTCCCTGACTCTACTGTCGGCTGTCTCTCCTAGCTCTGGCCTTGAAGAGCATCGACTATGAAACAGTGCCCATCAACCTCATAAAGGATGGGGGCCAGCAGGTAAGGAGGCTGCCCCTGGCCACAGTGTGGGAGTTGGAGGCCTTGGAGAACCCAGCAGGGGGTGCAGAGGCCCCCTGGCAGAGGAGGCTGCTGGCTCTCCCTCATGGGAATGGCTGGCAAGCTGTGCAACAAGAGGAGCCATGGGAAGGACCCAGGCTTCAGGCTCCATACCACAGCCCGGCCTCTCAGTGCCTGACCCCAGGAGGGTGGGTAGCAAGTGTGTCCTTGCCCCATGCTGGGCCCTCTGCATGTACCTAGGTGGCCAGAGTGTGAGGGGCTCATGTACAGGCCATTGGGATGAAGCCTGGAGCTCAGCAGCCACTGGAGGCTGGGATACTGCACAGATCAGCTAGGCATCACTTCCAGCCTTCGAGCCAGGGCCTTCCCCGGGGGAGGGAGGTGTGGGGGTGGGCAGCAGGCCTGGGGCCTTTCTGCTTTAGCCAACTCAGGCCAGGCCACCCAGCCCACCAGGACCCTCTCTCCACAGTTCTCCAAAGAATTCCAGGCACTTAACCCCATGAAGCAGGTGCCAGCCCTGAAGATCGATGGCATCACCATTGGCCAGTCGGTGAGTGCAGGGCTTGGGAGGCCCCTCCAGGGAGTGGTACCCTGAAAGAGAGGGCCTCACAGCTCATCCTTGCCTGTGTGTGGCCACAGCACCCAGCTCTTAGTAGGAAGGCCACAGCCATAAATCTTTGTTAAAGGGAGGAAGGTTGGCTGGTTGCTTTGTGACGAGAAGGGAGACTCAAGCATAGGGAGAACAATTCTGCAGGATGAGGGTCCAAAAAGAGCTCACCCCCCACAGGGAGCCTCTTGGCTTTACAGGCTTCAAGCTGAGTAGGGCGAGGAGGAAGAGGAGGTGGGAGAGAGGAGAGGGGGAGGAGGAGGAGGAGGAGGAGGAGAGGGAAGGAAGGGGGAGGAGGAGGAGTTTGCAGGCCCTGCCCCTCTGGTCCAGGGGCCCTGGGCCCTCTCCTGCTCCCCTCACTGCTCCCTCTGGACAGCTGGCCATCATCGAGTACCTGGAGGAGACTCGGCCCACTCCGCGGCTCCTGCCTCAGGACCCAAAGAAGAGGGTCCTTGTGCGCATGATTTCCGACCTCATCGCTGGCGGCATCCAGCCCCTGCAGGTGCGGCACTCTCTCGCTGACTGGCCAGCCCACTAGGGGCCCAGCTTGGGTGTGAGGTGGCAGGACAGGGAGGGATTCTCGAGAACTTAGACTGGATCACATGGTGGGGCAGGGGAATGGGAGGGATCCCAGAAACCACCCACTCTGCTGGGTCCCCATTGGCACTGTAAGAAGCCCTGGGCATCCAGAGGTGTGGAAGGGGAGGGGCCCGGTGAGGGGGCGGGGAGAGGGGAAGAGAGTCTGAGCAGCAGAGCCCAGGCCGCCTGCCTTTAACCAGAGCAGCCTCCCTTTCATCTGTTTGGTAAAATAGATGGGGATTCCCATAAGATTTTTATTTTGTAAAGTCATCACTGATTTTTTAAAAAGGTAATACAACAATTCATCTGTGCTAACGCCTGACTTTGCAAATAGGCAATAGCCCCAGAAAGGCGGAGTGACTTTGCAGTCAGTCAGTTAAGTGTGACAGAGCAAGGACTGGAGCCCAGGACCGTGGCTGTGCACCTGTGCCCCCACCCCCATGTCCCTTTGTTTTTTGTAACAGAGGAGGTTGTAGCAGACAGTCATCCTCATTTTATAGATGAGGAAACTGAAGCCCAGAAGTGAAATGGCTCCAGGGGTGTGAGGATGGAACCAGAGTCCAAATCTCCTGACAGCCAGTCCTATGTGCCTTCCCCACCCCAACCCCACCTCCATATCTTACTTCCACTCCTCACAAGGGACCATGTACGGGAGAAGGGATGCAAGGGAGATATGCTGGGGTTATGGCCACACCCATCACAGCCATGGCTGTGTCCTATGTCCCCACCCTTGCACATCTCTACCAGAGTCACAGGCGTCCAGACCACAGGGACCACTGGGGCAGCTGAGAAGGTGGTTACTGAGATCACTGCCCCCACCCCAACCCCTTTAACCTTGGGGCCCTGATAGCAGGAAAGGGCTCAGAGTCTTGGGGCAGAGAAGAACAGGTACAGCCAGGGACACTTGGGAACTAAGCTTTCCTGGGGGGCTTGGCTGAGCAGGCCAGCCTGGCTCCCAAAACCAATCACAGACTTTCCTTGGGCTGCACAGAACCTGTCTATCCTGAAGCAAGTAGGACAGGAGAACCAGCTGGCCTGGGCCCAGAAGGCCATCAGTTCTGGCTTTAACGGTGAGTCCTTACTCCTCTCAGAGAAACGGCCCTCATGCCCATGGTCCTGAGCATCTGAAACAGCTTTCCAGGCTCCTTGGTCTTGACAATGGCATGGATGAGGGTGGGGGGCAGGGCTGAGGAGGCAGTGGGCTGGGCGGCATCCAAACCTGGCCTCCACCTCTGGGAAGCTCAGAACTTGAGGCCCTTTGGAGCTGGATGGCCCATCCTCTGCTTCACGCTCCACTCCAGCCAGGAAACCAAGGCCAGCAGAGTGCCAGCCAATGAGTGTAAGAGCTGCTGCCTGGGCCAGTGGCAGGCCTTTCACCTCTGGGAACAGTAGCTGGGAAACATCTCATCCCCATGTCCCTACCAACTCACTCTAGACAAGGCTGCCAAATTCCCTCCAGCTCATGTGCCCCAGCCTGTCACTCAGATCCCGCCCACTTCAGAACTATGGAGGCCAAGGCCCAGAAAGGCCAGTCTCCCCTTTCTGTGCCAGAGTAAGCTTATTCGTGTCCCCCCACAGCCTTGGAGCAGATCCTGCAGAGCACAGCGGGGAAATACTGCGTGGGAGACGAGGTGAGCCCCCCCAGGCCTGCCCACAGCGGCCTCCTGACTCATGTCGACCCTCTCCCACTTAGACTAAGCCATCCCTCCACCCCAGGGCAGGCTCAGCAAGGGCGGGGGGTGGGGGGTGATGGAGAGGAGTAGAGAGCGAGGTGGTCCTCCCTGTGCCAAGCAGAAGGGAGCTTGGGGCGCTCCTCTGCTCATTCCTAGCCAGCTGCCTCAGCAGGAAGGGAGTCTCATTCCTGCAGGTATTCACGCTGAAGATCTCATGTCTGAGATAAGGAGGTGGTCTAGGCAGCAAATGAGGGATTAAACTACTAGTAGATGATGTCTCCCTTCCCTCCCAATCCTGAGATTCTAGGGCTCAGTGCCATTGACTCCTACTGCTAAGGCCCTGGCCTGTGATAATTCTCATTCTAACCCCTCTTCCCCCTGAGGCATCTCCTTCATTCTGGGAGCCCTCACTAACGGCCAACGATGGCCCTTAACAAGCACAGTACATCCACTAAGGCAATCAGAACTTCTCTAGCCACCCACAGAATTGGTTGTCAGGGCAACTGGAGCAAGGCCCTCAGCTCTGGAGACCAAACAGGCCCAGGGAAGACAAGGAGGGGGAGGGGGCAGTGGGGATGGATGGAAGAGCCAGAAGCAAATGGGAACCTCAGGGCTGACACCCCAGTACTGCCACCAATAGACACACCCTCCCAGCCTGTGAGTCTGGGGTGCACACCCTGATGCAGACCCACCCAACTCTCTTTCAGGTGTCCATGGCTGACCTCTGCTTAGTGCCTCAGGTGGCAAATGCTGAAAGGTAGGCAAGGACTCTGCCACCCTCCCTCTTCCTCCTGGCTCTTCCCCTCCAAGTGCCCAGCCTCCTCCCGTAGTCAGCCCCTCCACCCCCACTTCAGCTACTGAGGTAGCATCTCACGCAGAGACCCTCCTGGCTGGTCCCTGTGCCAGGCCACACGAGCCACTGTGGCCTGGGAGAGACAGGCAGAGGTCTTCAGTGGAGCATCCTCTCCCTGCCCAGCTGCAGTCAGGTGATCCTGCATAGCCAGCCCCTCCTTCTAAGAGGAGGCGGCTCACCTGGTGGACACCCCTAGAGGAAACCCCCAGAGCCTGCTATCCCAGACATGCTATATCTGTGTGAGCTCCACCTCTGTTTCCCGCATCAACCCTCAGGAAAGCATGAATGGGAATCACTTTGTGGAAGGCACTGCATTGGGGACCCTTAGGGATTCGGAAATGTATGATCCATTCCCTACCCCCTGGAAGCTTATGACTCGGGTGGAGAGACAATCTCCATTTATAAATGCCTAGCACTGTGTCTTACACATAGTAGGTTCTCAATAAATAGCCATTGGTTGGAATAGGAACGGTAGGCAACAGAGACATCAGACAATACTGCATAAGAGCTAGCCCTCCCCAGAGAGCTGTCTGTGAATAAGCCTTCCACCTGCAGGGTCACCTTCCCAGCCCTTCCCTGGCCAGCCCCGGGGGCCTCCTCCAGCCCTGCCTCTGTGCTGCCCTCACCGCCCACAGGGCAGTCTCCCGTACCCCTGCTGACCTTGCCTGAGGTGGGTGTTTCTCTGCCACAGGTACAAGGTGGATCTCACTCCCTACCCTACCATCACCCGTATCAACAAGGCACTGCTGGCCCTGGAGGCCTTCCAAGTGTCTCACCCCTGCCGGCAGCCAGACACGCCCCCGGAGCTGAGGGCCTAGCTCTCAAACCATGCCCACTGGTGCAGGAGCAGAAGCTGGGCGGGCTGAACAGGCCTGAAAATGAGCAAGCCCTAACTGGAGAAGCAGAAGACTTGCACTCCTGGCCCTTGAACTTAAACTGTAGCTGTGGATCTGCCTTAACACTGAACCTCATTCTGCCTTCATCCCCTCATCTGTCAAATGCAGTCAGGATGGGGTGGGAGGATGCTGGGAGGGAGGGAAGTAGGGAGGGAGGGAGGAACATTACCTGCTCCCTAAGTCACGGTGCAGTCATTAAGGTGAAGTGAGAATGCAGACTGAACTGCCTGGTAAGTTTACCGGAGAGCCATAGGAAGTCTGTGTGCCACCTCCCAAACCCTCTACTGTACCTGACTCCAAAGAATGCCCACCCTGCAATTTGATCATTAAACTGAAGCCCAGGGCTCCTGGTTGTTCATTAAGACAGATGTTCGGGTTTTGGTTAAGGCAGTTCCCAAAGATGAACATTCTTTCTAGCTGGAATTCCCGTGCCTGGACCAGGAGAGGAAGTCACCATCCCCTTGCCCACCCTGTGGCCCCTGGGACCTAAGCCCAAAAGATTGCCCGAGAGAGTCAGACAAGATCCCGAGGAGAAGAGATATAATAATCAGGAAAGCCCAGCCAGTATGGCTCAGTGGTTGATTGTCGACCTATGAACCAGGAGGTTACGGTTCGATTCCCAGTCGGGGCACATGCCCAGGTTGCGGGCTTGATCCCTAGTCGGGGGCAGGCAGGAGGCAGCCGATCAATGATTCTCTCTCACCATTGATGTTCCTCTCTTTCCCTCTCCCTTCCTCTCTGAAATCAATAAAAATATATTTTAAAAAAAGAAGCAGCAGGGAAGAAGGCACTTGTGACCAGCTGAGTTCCCAGGACTGGGAATGGCACCCTTAAGGGTCCCACTCCAGCACTGACAGGGAAGTGCCCTTCAGCCAGTCCCTCACCTTTAGAGGCAGCGTCCCACTCCAGCACTGACAGGGAAGTGCCCTTCAGCCCAGTCCCTCACCTTTAGAGACAGCATTCTCTGGACCAATCCCGGATCAGGCACTGAGAGTAAATCCAGTCATGAATGAATGGTCCGAGAACTGGAGGTAGCCTCCTCCATGAGCAGTGTGAACAGTTACCGACCAGACTAGCTCAGGAGACCAGGCAGGTAACAGTGTGCCTTTGGTTCCCATGCCGAGCAACGTTCAAGCACAACCAGGATCAGCGGGCCGTAGTTTGCCCACGGCTGCTCTAGACCAATCCCGGATCGGGCACTGAGGGTAAATCCAGTCATGAATGAGTGGTCCGAGAACTGGAGGCAGCCTCCTCCATGGGCAGTGTGAACAGTTACCGACCAGACTAGCTCAGGAGACCAGGCAGGTAACAGTGTGCCTTTGGTTCCCATGCCGAGCAACGTTCAAGCACAACCAGGATCACCACCTGGCAGAGATGCTGTAGGGAGATTGGGGTCCCATACCTGCGATTGCATCTCCCCTGCATGGCTGAGGTTTAAATAGGGAACTAAGATATATGTGTCTGGTTCAAATGGAAGCCACCTTTCTCAGCCATGAGTCCCTTTTCTTCAGCCTTAACCCCAGGGATCTAATTCTTCTCTCTCAACCTGGGCTCCCTTGGGGCTCCTCCTTCTCTCTTGGACAACCTGGGTTCCAGACTCTAGAATGACCCAAGTGGGCCACTCTAGTTCCCGAGATGAGTTTGTCCTGGTAGAGGCAGCTCTCCCCCCAAGCTGGTCTCAAGGCCAGCGCTGGGACCACCCTTGCTGCCTTCTTCACCTAGAACCAAGGAGAGAACCAACCCAGAGCCAGCTCAGTTCTCAGGGGCCTGCAACAACTTTTCTGATGCCTCCTGTGGGTTTCAGGGACGAGGGCTGTGAGAAGTGAGGGGATCTGGGGAGATGGAATTGGGAGGGCTGCAAACAGAAGGCAGGCCCAGGGGAGCCACCAGCTTAGGATCAACTAGGATGGAAAAGCAGTGTGTGTTGGGGGAAGAAGGGGACCAATGGGATGAGTCCAGCTTGTGGCCTCACCGAATGACCACAGCTAATGAGAAAGAAGAGCAGTCTGCCTGACTTCTGGGCCTGCAGTTTTGAGGCAGAGTGAGATGATCATGTGTTGCCAGCCCTGGGGCTTCCATGGAGTCCAGGTCATCAGCATGGTTAGCTGCTCGGCTGGAGATCTGAGATTTCGCTGGCTCCAGCCCTCATAGGGAGCCATCCTCAGGAACCTGGGGCTGGCTTCATGGAAGAGAGAAACCTCTCTGCCCCTAGAGAACTTAGCTGTGCTTTAGGGGAACAAGAAAGCATTTCTGCACCATCTCCCCTGCAGGAGGGCGGCGTTCCCCCAAGCTCCTCTAGGGCTGCACTCCTGTCTCCCCTCTGTTACCCAAGTGCCAAGCAAGGTGTAGCTTTGCTCCATAAATGTCTGTTAAAGGAAAGATATCCTTCCTGTGCAACCGTGGGTGGCCTCCCTGCAGGTCTCTCTCCTCCTTCGGGGCCCTAGAAGGTCATGAAGGAACAAATATTTCCCCAAGTGCATAGACTTTTGTCTAGAGGTCAGACCAAACGGCTCCAAGAGTTAGTGATAATTAAGCTTCTATAAAGTGTTTTGAAGATTATTACCTCCTTTTCGACTCCTTCCAGTCTGCAGATAAATTCTAATTTTCAGGGGGCGAATGTGTTTCTCGATCCAAAACTATCACCCCTCTAAGGGATGTTTTCCAGTAGGGGCTTCTCTCCAAAGGCCGAGCGAGTGGTAAAAGTCCACATCAGTTGTTAGATCTATGGAGAGCAATCAGCAGGCACCTGATCCTGGCCTGGGAGGCCACAGGGAGACGTGATCTGCAGTCTTCCCACAGTGTGTGTGGCCACGGGATGAACAACAGATGTTGGGGTGGCCTGATTCTGGTAATTAGGTGGAAGTAGTTAAGTCCTGGCAAATACTTTAGAAGGATGAAAGCAGCGAGGACTTGAGAACAAAGCCAAAAATACAGGATTTTGTTCCAAAGCAATTTTTACATATCCATTAAGGAAAATAGTACACTGACTGGGCAAACAGGTGGAGACACACATTCATAAGATAAGTATTCATTTTACTGGCTCCTCCTAACTTTAAACACAACTTACTTACCTTTTGATTCCAAGGTCACAGCAGGCATCGTTCCCCTTTGTGAGGATACCTGACTAAGCTGCCGAGTACAGCCAGAACCTCACGGGTTAAAAAACATCAGCTGAAGGTCAAGAGTTGCAGTGTGTGAGCTTCCTTATATAAGCCTGAACTATGTCAGGGTCAATGATATGACAGATATGAGTGCCATTAAAAATTAAGAAATAATCTTCAGCCCTGGCCGGTTTGGCTCAGAGATTAGAGCATCAGCCCATGGACCAAACGGTCACAGGTTCAATTCCTGGTCAAGGGCATGTATCTTGGTTGCAGGTTCGATCCCTGGCCCTGGTCAGGGCACGTGCAAGGCAACAATTGATGTATCTCTCTCATGTCAATGTTTTTTTCTCTCTCTCTCTTTCCCTCCCTCCCTTCTACTCTCTCTAAAAAAATTTTTAATGGGAAAAATATCCTTGGGTGAGGATTAAAAACAAAAAATCTTCACACAGTGACATAGTCAACATACCCAAACATAACGCATTCAAGATCCTTCGTACATACAGTCTGCCTGGGCTTATTATTGGTTGCAGAGTAGTTTGGTGGTGAGATTATATCATTTAACTCACAATTATTTAGGATCTCTGCCTCCTGATACAACAGCCTCTAAAATATGTAGCAAAGGAAAGATGGAACAAGCTCATCTTGGAACCACAGATATCACTAAAGGCAATATTTAAACGGCACCCCTCTCTGCTCAGATGTGAGTCCTTCAAATTCTGAAATAGACAGCAGGGATGTACAGCATTGTAAGAGATGCCAACGACAGCTTATAGTGTCAATTTTGCAGGTGAAAATAGGCTAAATTAATACCGCCCTGGCTGAGTTAATGATTACCCTGGTGTTCGAAGTACTGGTTCCAAATTTGAACAGAGTAAATAAGTAAATTCACTGGAAAATGAACATCACTGGGGACCAAATACTGACAAAACCTGATAATGTTCTATTTAGTAATCATTACTCTAAACCAGTTTTTTCACTCTTGGGCCAAACCTAGCTCCCAGCTCATAATACTCTGCTATAAATTTAAACGCAGATGAAAGATCTATCACTAACCTCATTCTCAATATTTTCTTAATTGTCAATTTTCTTAATTTGTATAGCCTCAATAGATTAAGTTTACAGAATACCTTTCATTTAAGATGCAAAGGAGAGATTAATAAAAAATTTTTTAACGTAAATCAGGTTCATTAAGATATAACTCAAATGTTTCAGGTGCATAGTGAAAAAGTTTATTTATGACAGATTTCAAAACTCGGAAGAGAAGACAAAGAATGCACAAAAGCATCACAAAACTGTTACATAATATAAAAACACAGGACTGAGTACTTAGGAGAACCGTAGCTCAGGATCATCTGTGTGTCACAGCAACACATTCAGTTCCACAGGGTGGTAAATATGGCATTTTAAAGGAAAAACCACTCAGAGGACATGATTAAATAACAATTTGGTACAGAGCTCTCAACTTAGAAATCATAGGAGGGGCTGACAGCATTTCTCAGGATAGAGAACATGTAAAACCAATTGCAATGAGATACTTTTGTATTTTAAATAAAAGACTGTTCCCCTTTCAGACCCCTTTTTGTAATGTCAGCATCAGCACATGATATAGAATAAGGAAAGAATACCTTTGTGGTTGCCAATTGCTTAAATATTTACCAAGAAAGCGTGATCATCTTTCCATCAACGGACAGAGCTCAATGTATGGCACCACAGCAGGCCTTTCAGAAATGAGCAAAATGGCATAATGTGGTTTAGGAAATCTTCAAGCACCTCCCCCTATTCCAATTACCCTCATCCAAAGCCTGGCTTTCTTATAACCCATTACTCTGATTACAAAGCAGCTTTCTCCTGGGAATTTCAAAACACTTCCCATTATGAAGGGAGCATGGATGGGTACACCAGTCATGGGTTATAGGCTTGGACTTGCTCTTGAACAAGGCTAAGTGGAAATAATTCAGCTTGATTAAACAAACGAACAAAAATGGGACAATCATCTCAGAAAGGGATGTTAGTAGAGTTTTTAATATGTAATTTCCTAATTAAATGTACTGTTTAAGACATAAGAGAAGGAATTAAGATAATGTTTTCCAGATGACGCTTGCCTGGACCTAAAAAGCAACAGTAACAACCAATCACAAGGAACATCACAGGCAAGGCAGGTGAACCCTAAGTGAGGATGAGCGTTCAGGAGAAGAGCTCCTTAAAGCGATGCCAGTGACGAGCTCCTCCGTAAGCCTATGTACTGTAATAGTTCAAGC